TATAATTGCCCCTGAAGATTATACGAAACCTTATAGTCGTTGAAATAGTGCCAATGCAGCGAAAAAGTACCTTTCGGCGGTACTCGGGCAAAAATCCTCAACGTGGCCATTTTTTAAATAGTGGACGTATTTAAGCAGTTTTAGTAACCGTTTGATAGAGAAATCTTCTAGTTTTGTATGACATATTAACTTTTCAGATTTGACGAAAATGAAGCAAGTTATGGCTTCGGAAAGTGTAAAAACTCGTGCTCATCATGAATTTTCCTCGTTAATTGATCTAAATTTGTTATTTCTTATAATTTTTGTAATTTCAATACTGATTAGAAAGAGCTCTTCACAAAACTCCCAAATCTGCTTTCAGATTGAAAATTCGTCATATTTGAAGAAAGTTATAATCATTTGAATATTTGTTCAAATTTCAATAGTAGATAAGCTGCTCCACGGTCAACGCCAAAGATCAGTCAACACACAGCTGGCTAAGGCGGTTATAAGGCTTCTTCAAGCGAAAGGGGACGTGTAAATTGAGAACCATTTTCTCCACCTGCGCTCGCCCTTCCTCATGTCAGAACCGTAGGCCGATGTCAGACTTTGCGAATCGCGCGATTCGCTAGCGTCTGCGGTCGCGTCGCGGCCAGTGAATCACTCAATTGGCTGGTACCGCAACGCGACCGCGGACGCTAGCGAATCGCGCGAATCGCTAGTAGCGAATCGCGCGATTCGCAAAGTCTGACATCGGCCTAGCTTTGCCACACACCACTTTCTACAGCGATTGCGCTCCTACAGTCGACGACCACGTTCTCGTCGTAGCTCACGTCTTGGGATGCGTAAATGCAATGAGAAAACGACGAAAAAAATTGACAACATGTGGCACTGCGCGCCCTCGCGGTTACGATAGACCTAGGCAATCATACTGAATCGTTTCTGTGATATTCTATGGTAATAAATTGCTCAAAAGTCCACAGGATGGCCTCAAAAACGTAAACGTACATACACTTTTTACTAGGGTTTGGATGAGACGATTAGCCGCTTGAAGGTCGTCCGGATTTGTGCTGTTAAGTAGTTCTTTGAGTAATCGTGCCTTTTCTTCATCTTCGAAAACGGCTAATTTAGGAGTGGTCACTAAAAAGAACATTGCCGTTTCATAACCACTGATACAGAGTCGTTTGAGAAGACTCGAAAGCCCGAATGTCAAAGCAGAATGAATTCAGGAAGCTTCGACTCACACTGAACCACCATGATTTCGTCCTCAGGAATGACCGGGTCAGCTGTTATCAGATTGTGCTCTCTCAAGGAATCGTATACCTTAAAATAAATTCAACACGCTCCCACCCATGAGTGGAGTCGACTGAACGGAGACAAAAACGAAGAACATAGAGATGAACGCCTTGTACAAGAAGCAGAAATGCAGAAAAGTCCGTCTGGCTAATGCCCGGCATCGGGCTACCAAGACATTAGGGTGGTGAAGAGTGTGAAGAGCAGTGAACGGCGCCATCCTGAGGAAGCCAGCCGAAGTCAGAGGAGGTGGGAAGAGTACTTCAGAGGGCTTCTGAACGAGGAGTTCCCCCACAAGAACAACTCACGGGCAGAGGCCACAGCTGGTCCCATCGCACAGAGGATGAGGTTCGGTGTGCACTTGGGAAGGATGAAGGTTGGAAAGGCGGTTGGTCCGGATGGAGTGCCAATCGAGGCTTGGAAGGCGCTCGGAGAGTACGGGATAAGGTGGCTCACCCGCTTCCTGAACACGGTAACTGCCGAAGGAAGGATGCCGGATGCCTGGAGAACAAGTATCGTCCCCATCTTCAAGCAGAAGGGTGACGCGATGGACTGCTCCAACTACCGCGGCATCAAGTTGACTGCGCATACCATGAAGTTGTACGAGCGCCTGGTCGACTCGAAACTGCGGGAGCTGGAACAGTTCGGGTTCATGCCCGAAAGATCTACAACGGATGCCATCTTCATCGCTAGGCAAGTGATGGAGAAGTATCGCGAAAAGCGCCGACCTGCTACCTAGCCTTCCTCGACCTGGAAAAGGCGTTCGACCGGCTACCGCGAGCAGTGCTATGGAGGTCGCTCAGGGAACGAAACGTGCCAGAACACCTGATCTCTCTGGTGAAGGACATGTACGAAGGAGCCAAGGCAGCCATACGCACCCCACACGGCCTAACGAAGGAGGTGGACATCACGGTTGGGGTGCACCAAGGGTCAGCTCTGAGCCCGTTCCTCTTCCTCCTAACACTAGATGTCCATGGTGAAGGGCTCATGGAAGGACCACTGAAGACCATCCTCTACGCTGACGACATCGCCCTGATAGCGGATAGCAGAGAACTACAGGCCAAGGTGCAGAAATGGCAGAAAGTCCTGGCAGAAGGTGGGCTCCGGCTGAATGTCAAGAAGACCAAGTTCCTGAGCTCCGAAGAGGGTGCAGAGCCGATCGTGGACGGCCATGGTGAGACATCGAAAGAGTGGAGGACTTCCGATACCTTGGGAGCGATCTGGCAGCCGACGGAAGTGTGGATCAGGCAGTGAAGGCACGAATCAACGCGGCATGGATGAAATGGAGGGAGTCCACTGGAATCCTCTGCGATCGAAGGTGCTCCAGAACGCTCAAAGGGAAGGTGTACCGGACAGTGGTAAGGCCTGCGATGCTATACGGCAGCGAGTGCTGGCCCCTGAACAAGAATCACGAAAGGCAGCTTCACTCCGCTGAAATGAGGATGCTGAGATGGGCCTGCGGCTGGACGCGACTGGACAGGGTCAGAAACGAGGATGTCAGAGCGGTCATGCAGACTGCCCCTGTCCAGCTGAAGGTAAACAGCGTCTGCGATGGTATGGGCATGTGCTAAGGAGGCCACAGGATCCATCCGATAAGAACAGCGATGGACTTCGAAGCGCAAGGCAAGCGACCGCGAGGAGCCCCAAAGAAGAGGTGGAGAGACGTGATCAAGAAGGACCTAAGTGAAGTCATGGCCACAGCAGAAGATGCCCTGGACAGAGCAAAGTGGCGACGACTGACAAAGACAGCGGACCCTGCGACTGCGCGGGACTAACGCTAGGGAGAAGAAGAAGAAGAAGGCTCGTGAATAAAGCAATATTCGGGCAAAATGTTGAAGACCACTGGCACTCAATCCTACTCATCTAAGTGCTCACCTCCTTGAATTTTTCCACATGTCGCATTGATCGTTGCCAAGAATACAGTAATTTGATCGATAGCTCTTTTACCTGAAATTTTGGCTCAGTTTGGGAGCATCTGAAAGCTGATAAACCTGCGAATTTGACACAACGAAAGCAGGGGTTATCGACGTTTTCTGGTGGGCGCCGTGCACTTGCCCATGCCAGATGACACATGAGCTGACTGATGAACTAAGGAATTAAGGTCTCCATGGAAAACCTCACCGGTGGCGCGGACGCGTTCGTGTGTTGGTGATGTCACAACGGCGGCGAGCGAGCAAGCAATGTCTAGATTTGCCACTTACCTACATACTAAAGTACCCCGAGATTGCTGCTACCGTGCGTTTACCATACCGAAGTGGTCTACACATCTCGGAGTATTCTTTCACTGCTAAGAATAGGATTGCTATGGGCGAGGTGGACTGCTGCTTCCCTCCCCATAGGAACAGTACCATCAATTTTTAGTCAACAGTTCATTATTATTATTATTATTCATTATTATTTTATAAAATTAACAGTTCATTGTTACTATACAACTATACTGTTTTATCCCTGGCTAGTTCTAATGTGTTATGGGAGCGCGTCGGTCGACGCACACTAAATAAATAAATAAATAAATAAATAAATAAATTTCTATAAATGTGGGATCGAGACAAGAAATGTACCTCTGGCGACGTCTGCGCTCCCAAGTACTTCGGTGTGATCAGCTTCACAATTTGGTTGAGAAATCGAAATTTTCCAACACGATTGTGAACTTTCTCACCACACTTTCGAACTAGCTGGTCGACTGCCTGAATGTAGAATGGTGTAGCGAATCTTTCGGTAATAAAACAAATGGTTTATCAAATTTTAGCAAATAAGAAGAAACGGTGGAGGAATAATGGTTCATACGTGGCATAACAACGGCGATATCATTCGAATAAGCAAAAGAGGAAGCAAAATTAAAACAATATGAATGAAAAATTCACCTGTAATGAGTACAGGGCTTCATCTTGGTCGGGACTAACAATTTTGTGTCCCAAAATACCGGTGGCCACCAATGCGCCATCGGCCTGAAAGGAACTAGTCGGTTTGAAATTTTACTCCATTGTAAATAATTTGTTTCGAGTTAATTTATTTACATATTTTATATTACTGTATTTCATTTATATATTAGCCATACATAATGCTCGTATATATATTTATATTTCGTAGTATTTTTATATTTTTGTATTTCGACTTCTTCACCAAAATTTTTGTAATGCAATGAGCATTCACATAGCATGAGTGGTAGCACTCGAAAGCATAGGAATTTATCCGCAATACTGACATTTTCAGCCTTTCTCTTATTTAGGGCACGGGTTGGGATCAAATTGTGTGTCATATTGTTCGAAAATTAGACAGAAAGTACTATGAAAAGCAATAGTGGGCAGAAAAAGCAGAAAGTGCCATAGAATGAAATTTGTTTCGCGAGGTGAGCCGTGGTGTGACGCAGAAATACGGCAGTGCGAGGAGGGTGAAAAAGCGAGAGCATTTGTATAAGGGAGGGTGCCGACGCCACGACTGATAAGGATGGCAGCACGGCAGCACAGAAGGAAGGCTCTTAGCGCCGTTGCTCAAGTTCAACGAATCTGCGTCGTCAACAATTCGTCAGGGGTTTCGTAGAAAGTCATTCATCATCCTTTGTATGATGCACTTCCATTGGAAAGTGGCCAAGTGAGACGGCTCAGCCTGTTTCGTTTCAGAGTATTTTTGCCCGACCATAATCCCAGTACGAGTGATGCCTTGCGTTAGACTGAGGATAAAGCAAACGGAACAGGGACGAAAGAAAACACTCTTGTGCATCGCTCGACAAATCGTCCAAGAGCGGTAGAATGGAGATTAGCCTTCACATGCGGAATAAAAGAGAAGAATTCAGAAAGTCAATTTAAATATATGAAAATTTTCATAGCGCGTGTGAAAGGCCGGCACTTCTCTGGAGCTGGAAAATCCAACCAAAACCAACTGAGGAAAATTTTACGTTTTATTTCAACGTTTTATTCAGTAAAGAATTAAGTAAAGCCCTTGTAAAACCCAAAAATAATGTGGAAAAAAACGTCACAGCTTAAAATTCTCTGGCCACCATAGTTTATAGTTTGTGTGGAATAAAATTCGGCTGAGAATCAAAAAAATCAACATAATTTTTAGCGCTAATTAATAGTATAATTATAATTGGTACTGATAATATGTAGTAGCAGAATTATTACTTCATAGAAATCACGGAAAAGCGCTTAGATAACAATAATGGAAATCAGTGAAAAATAGTCGCAGTAAATAAAAATAATTATATTAATACGAATAATAAGAGCGAGAAGAAGAATATCAGTATTAAAGAGATGTAAAAAAATTGTAATGGTAAAGTTTTCGAAATAAAGCAAAAAAAAACGAAAAATAAAAAGTAAAGACAACTATCATCACAAGTCATAGCAATAATAATAATAGAAAAAAACGAGAAGACGAGAAGAGCATAGTGCAGACCATACACCACAAGTGACGACGGCCTCCACAAAATGTAAATTTTTCTGCCAATGAAATGATTAGCCTGTTGCAGTTGTATTCTATCAGTTGTCACTAATTACAACTATCATTTACCAAAAATCAGCTATCACTATGAACCACTACTAACCAGATTTACTTGGAGGCCGTCGTCACTTGTGGTGTATGGTCTGCACCCGACGCTCTTCTCGTTTTTTGAAGGGAGGTACGTATTTGTCACTGCGCTATATATGCAGTGAATTCCTATTTATGCTTACTATATTAATTTAATAGTGCAAAACGGTTTTTTCAGGCTTCCGGTAATGAATCGGAGAAAGCCATTATCCTAGGTAATTATTATAGTCTTGCAAGCCAGATAATTGGTCTATTCGATGAAGCGGTTTATTTTGCAGAAAATATTAAATACCTCGTAATTTACTCTGTCGCAGAGTTTTTGGACGTATTGTTTTCGGGATTCAGCGTCTATGAATGGATCAGTGGACCGACCTGAGTAACTTCTTTACGAAAGAAATTTTCTGTTTTGAATTGAATTTGGAAAAAATTACTATGGAAAACACTCACTTATCCAGTATTCAATAGGTCTTTCACTGTCATTCTGATCAACCATAATCTATGGGTGTCACTTCTAACTCGGTGGTAAGGCGAAGTGATTTTCTGAAAGTGGCAGAGAATTCTCCCGAAACCGTGAAGCATAGAAGATCGATAAAGCTGAAGAAGGGAAATGACGACATCAAAAACGAAAACTTCGCAAAGCCACATCTCTGATGGTTTGTTACGCTCTGTAACAAGTTATGCGATAGAGTAAGACCTTCTGAGATTGTTGTTCGATAAACGGGACCACTGAATGAGTGGTGGCCATATTGGCATGAATTAAGGACTTCTGTCGAGAAACTGTAACTGTGATGTGGGCGTGAGCGGGCTAATGAAGCCCTGGCTCCTCACCACGGTAGAATTGTCGGAAAACGAACCCATAGCCCTCGTTGGTCCTGAGTATCTGGTAGTCTTCAGTTCAGATGATCGCCCAACCCAGTTCTATAATGCAAATGCGGAATATACGAGAGCTGCCATCTATCGATTGCAGCATGTTGGCGACAGAGAACGAGGAGGCTTGCTTGGCAGAGCGCAGCGGAGGTCTCGTCTAGGTGCAGAGCCAAAACAGAAACGAGTAGAAATCGCCTCGAGGCTGACTGACGACCGCCAGCGGACGTTGCGCACGTCAGCTAGCCGGCCGATCGTCGGGCCATATGCCTCCCATTCCGACTAGGACATCATCACTGTTTGAATTCACCCACTCTTTCCGTGGAAAAGGGGAGTAAAATAATTTGTGGCATTTCTTTCTTAAAACTGTAAACTACCAGAAAGACTGCCGCAAGGCCTGAAATGGACACAGCTTACTTAGAAACATTCGGAATCAGGACGGTACAACTACTAATGAGTTCTTAATGAAGCTCGCAGGAACCTCGAACGAGCTCTTCTGAGCTTTCATTGAGGCTACACCCTATCACTCTAAATCTTAAAGGCATGGTCGAGATTGATGCGTGTTATTGTGATGAGAACTAGACAATCTGTTCGATGAGGAGCTTGAGGGGGGGGGGTGAAGCACCATAAAAGGACTAAAATTTCTCTTGTGAGGTCGACCGTGGTATGACCGAGAGACACAGCACTGTGAGGAGAGGGAAAACACAAAATTGTGCGTCATACGCGAGAGGGCGCAGACGCCAGGTATTTCGCGATTGGTCCCTTAGTGAGAGTATTTGGACGATTTACATTTCAACCGAAACGAGGCCTGTGGCCACAATCCCAACTATCTCAAAAGGGATCGTGTGAGGCGGGAACAGCGTCTCTCCATAATGACATAGCTTCTACTTATACCTGGAAAATACTTCAATTTTTGTGGCTCCCCCCCCCCCACCCACCGCATATGGTTTAGCTAGCATAGCATTTTGAAGTTCGCTGTTTGATTGAACGTTTCGGTATTTCATGACGTTATAGCTCGTTCTTAACAGCAACTAGGTTGTTATACTCTAGGCCAAGAAAAGAAGGCTGTTCTATCAGAATATCTTGATCAAGGTGATTCGGCTACCGATTCACCGATAGTGCCAAACCCGCAAGATCTGAAAACCACCCAAATAAATTTCAAGCTCGGCGAAGAAAAAGTCAATTTTTTCGCAGTTTCTTCTCAACGAATCCTAGGCTTGCTTGGCTTTGGGTTTTGCCATTCAGTAGTGAATAATAATATTGCTGCTGAAAAAACACCAGAGGGCACAACAATAATCGTATTAGCTCAGCAGAAAGAGAACTACTTCGTGAAGAGATTTGAGAGCAGTTCGAAAGTAAGAATGCTTTCCGAAGAACCGAAAAGCATCAGGGGCAGAACGACGTCATTCTGAACTTCTGCACAGGCCGAAATTTTGAATGCAATTTGTACTGGAGCAGAGGCATGGCCGGATGAATTCGACAGCGTCATTTAGGCGTTTTTGGGCATGCACGTCACGATAATTGGAAAGCCATCAAACTCTCTTGGAGCTACCCGCGCTCGAAGAAGTTCTCTGAAGAGGTGCATTTCCAACGCATTTCTTTCTTCCGGAAACATTTTGCTGTCAAACGCACAATCGAGTGTTCTTTACAGTTGAAAATCCTCTGAAAGAAACTTGGACTATTTTTTTGAGAAGCTTCAAACTTAATTTGGATTTCTAACAACTAACATACAAACAACATTTACAAAAATTATGGATTGATTAAATTAGTTTGAATGAAGAAGCAAAAACATAAACGGTCTTGAAGTTGCTGAAATAATGAAATTTTAAAAAATTGCAAAATTTTATGCGAAGGTACAACAGATGGCTCTCTGATTTTCTTCAGAAGTACAATAAATAGGCCACTGATTTTTTTCAGTATCATGATAGCCTCATCATGAGCCTTAAAATAGCAAAGGTTCTCATAAGAACAGGCTTGATGAGCCACTACCTGTCCCTTGTTGAGTAAGTTTTGTTGACATACTTCTATTTATTTATTTGTTCATTTATGGTGAAATTTACTTATTTTATTATTTTATTATTTTATTTTATTCATTTTATTTATGGTAAAAGCCGCGTCCGGCGAAGAAGAGCGAATGCTAATAGTACCTAGCTAAGGTGAATCGACATCTAGAATAAAAAAAATTAAAACAAATAAAACAGCAGACTTAATTTCTTCACTGAATGTTATTTTTGGAGCAAAGGTTTCAAATTTTCAAATTTGCTTTACAAGTTAATCACAAAGAAATCTCCATAAAAATAGGATTCCTGAGAACGATTTGATATGCCCGATTTTCTCCCGATTTGGAAATTCACACTTTTAAATAAAATCAATCAAATAAATAGACTTATTATTCTAATTAACAGGACTTGATGTTCAGTGATGGAGCAAGTTGACATTCGCCATGATTTTTAATAGTAGTTTGAGTTGGTAGGGGGATTTCAAAGTTCAATGGAGGAGAAGGAAAAGGAAGAGCCATTATCGCAAGGAGCGAGAGATGTTTTATGGGCTTAAAAGTGCGGAGGAAGCGACGTCAAATATCGGTTGAGCATAAAATATCCCACTGGCCCATTGCACTCCCCAGAAGGAAAATCGGAAAGGCGAAAACGAAAAAAAAAATCATGTCATAATATCTATCCTACTGGGACAAAAAAAAAGAAAATGCTGGAGCTACATGAAAGGAAAGCTAATAACATCGCCAGTTCCATTTCATGATGCGCCATGCATCTTACACCATTCAGAATCGCAGCGGTTATTGCATGTGATTTGTCTCTTGCGTGGGGTCTCAAATTACAATGCGCCCTAGAAACCTCTTCGATGTTTCCAACTTCATACACTTTTATATAACTTTTGTGTTATACATTATTTTTCAACTTCTTTGCTGTCAGAAAACGCCCGCAATAAAGCGGCCTATCGTTACAGTGAAGTCGGCTTCTTCTCCAGAATCCTACATTGAGATGCACCAACAAAGAGGTTTCTCCCGTTGCTTGGAAAGCTCGAAATCATATAAAGCCTTGATTTGTTCAGAAACGTTTCCTAACGATGTAAACATTGGAAGACATAAACTGTCACGAAGACCATTCCCAAGGATTTTCCACCCGCTTCCTCAGGAAGGCCAAGAATATTAGCGTTATAGTAATTCGAATTGCTTAGACTGACGTCTTGAATTACTGGGATTCAAAGCTCCCAAGAGCTGCTCAGGACTACAGCGTCTTCAAGGGCTGCTCCCGAGAATGGTCCGAAACGAACTTATACACACCAGCGTGCTTTTCACGAAGGATGCCTCCACTGAGGGACTTGACGCTCAGACTGAAATCAGTTTAGGCGGATTCGAATGTGAATGCTGAATACATACTTTTTATAGGGCAGACGAAATCACCGCAGCACGCGCTGCGACCAGGGTCAACCGTCCGTTCGAACTGTTCGAACGAAGGGGTCGCATTTTGATCAGAAGGGGGTCGCAATTTCGAGGACTGCCAGCCACAGGCGCGTGCGTGGCGTATCCGAGGGCAAGAATTGTTTGTGCAGACCGCATTAGATTCGATTAATTATGCACAGAGAGACAGTTTTAGGCAAATTACGGTGTTTTCCTTGAGGAATAGAGAACAGTTGAATGCATCCCTATGAAAGGTTTGACTTCTCGGGGCTGAAATTTAAGTTCTTCGGGACCTGATTTTCTGAGGACGATTCTTCCAGACAACGGTAAAACATATAAGAAAGCAGAAATCTCGTAGTCTTCAAAAATGTCTTCGCCCTCCCCAACAAGTTCTTTGAAGGAAGTTATTATTGCTGAAAGCTCAAAAACTCGCATGTGCTGCTCAAAAACCTATGGGAACAAAATGTTCGAACGTGTGATTTTCTCGGAAAATGGATTTTGAAAAACGGTTTGGTGCTTCAGAAAGAGCAAATCCTGCACTTTCACCCATGAAAAAAGTGCATCACAGAAATGAAAATGAAGTGAGTTATGCCCGCTTAAAGCCCAAAAACTCGCGATTTCAAAAAAAGTGTTCGGCAAAACCCCCCAAAATGTTCGAACGTGTGATTTTCTCGAAAATGAACTTTGAAAAACGGTTTGGGGCTTGTTAGAAAGAGCAAATCCTGTACTTTCACCCCATGAAAAAGTGCATCACAGAAATGAAAATGAAGTGAGTTATGGTCGCTGAAAGCCCAAAAACTCGCTTTTGCACGAAAAATGTTCGAACGGGACAATTTTTTGAAAAAGGGGACAATCACTAAACTTTTTATACTGTTTTGTTAGAGAAATATTTGAAGTTTCTGAAACTTTTTACAGATTTCCAAAATGTCGCATACGAAAGATTTTATGGGCCTTCAAAGTTGAAGGTGCGCCTTCTTAGAATTTTGGGTTTTCCACTTCTAACAGAAGTACTTTCCGGAGAGTTAGGCAATCCTTGTAGTTTTCTGAAAGCGCACCTCAGGCACAATCAA